ACGGGACGGCGAAAAAATACATGACACATGACCCAGTTAACATTTTCTTCAAACTTTTATTGAAAAATTTGCTTTAAATTCTGCATTTTGGAAGAAATTATAGCCACTGTATTGTTCATATGTATTTCTTCTATAAAATAACAAAAGATCGTTGCTCAGATTTCAATCAACAACGGCCCCCAGCCTCGTACCCAGGCCTGTTCGCGCTATCCGAGTGAACAGAGGAGGCTTGGAACCGAGCGCGATAGCGCGAGGCCTGGCAAAAAATGGCAAAAAAGTCCCAGATCAGCTAGAAAAAGTCCCAGATAATTTCTCGACGAATCCTGGGCGAATTTTCCCGACAAGCTTGACAGGTGACGTCACATCCGAAATCGCCGAGGACGACTGGGAACGAGGCTGAACGGCCCCCACTAACAGAGGGTGGTCTGCCTGTGGGCCAATGCACTCGATGCTATGTAATTAATAAGCACAACATGGCGACCACTCGTTTCAGGCCATTACCGTTCAAAGATGGACGTTGGGTTCCAGGCTCAGAAACAACCAAAAGCCAACGGTGTACTGAAATATTTCTTCACTAAACGGAGTGAATACTAAAGAAAACTAAAGCATCGAGATTTGGAAGCCGCCACAGATCCCAAAATATGGGAATTTTAAGAATAACGAGCTAATTATATGGTTTCAGTAATTTTTTTATACATGAGAGACATGTTTTAAGCCGGTCAAATTATTGGTGATTAGGCCACCGAGCGGACCTTTCCAGCCTACGGGCCTGATACGGTGGATGTGTTGTGGTTCAATTTTGTCCTTGGTTTAAGGTGTTTCGATATATTTTTTCAGAGCTCATACCGATATTTTTCAATCGCTTTAAAAGTGATTTTCTCCTTGTCAGATCTCCATAAAATTTTCGCCAATGATTGACTATACATTGAAATTTATCAAAAATGTAGGTTTTAGACAACAATAGACAAAAAACTTTGAAATTGATAAACTCCTAATTTTGCACGATCTAGACCAGCTACTGAAAATCGAACACTAGGAACTTAAAGAAAAATAAAAAAATTTAACCTGAATTTAATTTTGATCTGCAACATATCTGTAGCACTAGTGTGGTACATCGTGTCGAAGTGAAGAATAAATAACTTGTTGGAGCCTTGGAAAACAAGAAAAAACATGAAGAACCATTCTAGACATACCCCCTTTCGAATGTGCGTTGTAGCTTTGTTTTTCGTTTTAGCCTGATGAAGAGTATTTATGACAAATTCTCTCCCGGCAAAAAACCACGCGAAAGCTCAACCCTCAAAGTTAAAATTTTTGTTCAGTGGCCATTTGGCGATCAGCTCTTCGGGTTTAGTCGCCAGGGGAAATTTTTAGGCGCCAAATTATATTAGTATATTAATATATCAAAATTGTCATTAACAAAAGCAGTTAGCAAGTTTAACTTAAAATGCAGCACTGCCTATAAATTACTCGTTTATCGTGCAAGGCATTAGTTACTGATAGTCTGATAATAAGGTTTGCAGATTCATCTCCTTGAATCAATACTGAAGCGGAATTGTAAAGACAATTACCATTTCCAGTTGTCTTTAGGACCTTCAATCCTTCTGTATAATCCCCAGTTGGTATATGAGAGCAGAACTTAACTCATCCTCTGTGAATGTGTTCAAAATTTCCCAGTCGCAACTTGATAGGCGACCTATTTTTTTCTGATATTTGTTTCGCATTTCTTTTGCGACTTTTGTTGACGATGAACTTGTTTCCCCAACTATCAAATATTTTTGGAGATTTAAAAGGTCGTTTTTAATATCGCTAGACATCGCGAAACCCTGAAAAAGGCAGGAGAGTATAGGAAGATCAACAAGTTTTCTAAATCAAATCATTGCTTTATAGAGATAACATCGCGCACGTGAAAATTTCGCAACGAGTTGTACTGGGAAAAAATGTTTTTCCCAATCAATTGAAAGGAACCCAAACAAAAATGCCGCTTACGAAATAATAAATTTTCTTTTTCCTTTATCATCGCTACAGGTGTTTAAAAAAAACCATTTTTTGCAACAACCATAAGCTGTCAGTTTTCCGATGTTTAGTTTCGCTTACATTTATCGCTTTTGTTTACAAAACCGTGATTCAACTCGCAGCACGGTTCACATGTTACGGTTATCACATAGGGCGCGATCCATTCAACCAAACTTTCCGGAAATTTCGGTCCAAAACTCAATGGATCGGTTCGGTCCAACCGGAAAAGTTTCGAAAAAACGGGTCCACCTTTTGAGGTGGTCCTCTTCTCCCGGTCGGACCGGTTGGAATTTTGGTTGAATGGATCGCGCCCATAGGGTGTGTTCCTTTCGGCGAATCCGAAAACGGATTTTTGATCCTAGATTTGCCAGATTTCTCGGTCGAAAGGAACGTGAAATCCGAAATTGGATTTGTAACCTTGGTAACCTTTCGCCAACGCGTGAAATATGCACGACAGCCTCTCAAAAAATGACGTGTTTTCTACTGTTTGACAAATTATGCGATTATACCGTGCAGAATTTAGTGGTCGGCAGTTCGAATAGCGACGATGGAACATAGAAAACAAACAAAGAAAGAAGCGCATTAAAATTGAAAATTATCTAAAGAATGTCGGCCAGTTTGATCCAGTTCCATAGCTCGGATTTTTTTATGTAGCACGATCGAATGCCTGTCGCGTCTACAAGCGAGTTTGTAGTTAGATAGCAGTTCATTTGTTACTTTTACTTATTTCTGATTTCAAGCAATCTTTAGAGACAAATGGTTAGTATATGGATATTTTAATGTACCAGGAACAATCTTCTAATGTTTTCAGATGTTTTGCGGCAAATGAAAGCAACGAGGAAACTCTACGGCCTCTATGGGAATACTTCAACTGGAAATACCGCTGGATCATCTGACTAGTTTCGGATCCACTGTGAATGGAACAGCGTAGATCACTAATCCGTTAATCTGGATTTGGATTCTTCGGACTTCAAATCCAGTGAATCCTTTTTTAAAAAGGATTCACTAGATCAAAAATCCGGATTTGGATTTGCCGAAAGGAACGCGAAATCCGTTTTTAGATCAAAAATCCGTTTTTGGATTCACCGAAAGGAACACACCCTATATAATGTTCTGTGTTGAATTTGCACCAATTTAGCTTTCCCTCTTCATGTTATTAGATTGTTTCAGTATTGATTCAAAAATATTTATAGTATGTAGTCCAGTTGAAAAACCACTGAACTTGGCTTGACAAGCATTCCTAAGGTATCGAAGAAATCGTCACTGTCGACAAGCAAGGCGCTTCGATTGCGTGCCATTTGTCACTTGTCAAAAGTTAAAATGTCACGTGCAAGGCAACAGACTGAAGGCGATAGTATTCAAATCAGCTAGAATAAATGTTCTTCATATTTCAGTAGAAGTGATTACCATTTCTGTTTCTATACGCCATAACACGAACCTATTCTTCACGGTCGCCAGCTTGGCGACTGTTCTCCAAATCAAGTCGCCAGTTCCAAAATTTTAGGCGCCATGGCGACTAAAATGGTCGCAACTTGGAGGGTTGAAGCTCCAGGCCGGCAAATCGCAATTTCTGAAACGCAGCCGCCATTTTGAAACCCGTCGGTAGGGAACTGGGGTGATTTCAACCTCGTTTCGAGGAGTTGTGGTCTTTGACCGGGGACAACGCCTGATGCGAAACCAAAACAAAGCAAAAAACCCTCACTGATGTGAATCCAGTGACCTTCGTAAGTGGAAGACAAGACGGTTGAAACAGCACCTTACATTTTGTTGATGAAAATGTTTACATATTGAGGAAGGGACAAGACAGAAGACAAGAGAAGATATCCTTTCATGGGACGGAACCGGGCGTCACTGGGGCGTCTCCCGGCCGGAGGACTGCTGATATTTTATACGTTGGTGTCATCAATATTCCGGGATATTCCCTATGGGCAGAGGACGTAAATTATTTACTTATTGGTCAGGTGACTTGCGAACGAACTTTGCCATTTTCAGATTGTGTTCTTGTGCCTCTGGTTCGCCCTTGATCTGGTACTATACTTCTGCCCCCGGTAAGAAAGCCCTTTGGAGAGATGTCGAATTCAGAATCTAAGAAGCATCCCATCTGTGTCCTCCTCAAAAATTGACACGTGGACTTGTACTCGGGTAAATTTTGAACCCTGGATATATCCTGTATTGGGACTCTGGACGATTTGCCCCTTGCTCTTATATGAGGAAAACTATATCTTCTCTGAATTTTTTAACCGGTCTAATGTTTTTTTTTATTATTTGTAGAAGAATGTACCTGAATTTATTTTACATGAGCTTTATACAAATGAAACATGTGACGTAATCCTGCGTAAATCGCTCGGATGAAACCTGGTCGGTGTTGCTGTCGTCTTTTTTTTTTCTTTGCCTTGCTGATTTTCTAATGATTATCAACGAAGATTCAACACATTTTATAGCAGGTAAATGAGCAACTCCAAATGAAATTCCTCTAGGTGAAGCCAATATTCATTTGGAGCTGCTCATTCGACTCATTTCGATGAGGTACTCCGAAAATTTTTTATCGCACAGTGTTTTTGGGTCTATTCAAAGCTAGCCCCAGGTTTTAGCGGTTTTCAAAATGGCCGTTTTTAGAAGCAAAGTCGTGCGGTCTTGCTTGAAAAGGATTCCTCGAGTAATTTTGAAACAGCATGCAACAGACGAACTAACATAGTCAGAAGAAGCACATTTTGGACTAGAATGGGATGTTTATAGTTTAATCGGTGTTGCTCTGTTCTTGGAACAAGTCATAGCCTTTACAATTTTTTTTCTTGGTTCCATCTTTTATTTTGTGAAGCTTGCTGGATAGTCTTAAATTTAAGACTTATTAGCTTGTGTGACAAACATGAAAATTATAATGTGACCCAGATGTTTAGCAGTCTTTGAATGAGCTGGTCCAGGATCCTCTGGATCTTGTAGATAAGTGAATTCATATTCAAGAAAGTTGGAAATTTTATTCTCTTCAGAATCACAAACAGCATGAGTGAGCTAGAAAATGATTTAAAGGTGGCGGATGAGTTGCATGAAAATGGAGAAGCACAGAAAGTGTATGACATGCTGATCAAATACAAAGACTTGCAAAATGCAGAAGTTGAGTGGCGATTGGCAAGAGCCTGCAGAATATTAGCCATGACTGATTCAGAAAAGAAAAAAGCATTTACATATGAAGCTCATGAACATGCTAAGTTGGCCTTGAGCTTGGATGACAAAAATGCTGCCTGTCACAAGGTAAATTGTATATAATGCATTATATATTGGGGAGCAAGGGATGGTGCAGTGGTGAGAGTGCTCTCCTCTCACCATAAGGCCCGGGTTCAAATCCCGGCGTCAACGCCATATGTGGGTTTAGTTTGTTTTTGGTTCTCTCCTTTGCTCCGAGAGGTTTTCTCCGGGTACTCGGGTTTTCCCCTCTCCTTAAAAACCAACATTTCTAAATTCCAATTCGACCAGGAATCAGGTAGACGAAGAACCACTTTGTGGATGTGCTACCTCCAAATCATCATTTATATTTATTATTTATTTATTTATTGACCAACCATGAGGTCAAGATTGCTGGATATTGGCCCCGAGGGTGGTGCGGGAGCACCCATATATAACTGACGGGGATGCTCGTTGTCTCACTTAGGGGGTGTAAATTGCAGATTTTTGTCTCACTTAGGGTGTTTGGATGGAAAGTCACTATATTTGCCCTTCCAGGTATCGCTTGGGGCTGCGCATAAAGACACACAAAAAATGCCTTGATACTGGCCACACAGAAATCTCTTTTAGGAGTCACTTTAAGTTTGAGCCACAACCACATTGCTCTCCCTTAGGGCCAAGTTCTTTTTTCCATTTTATTGACTGAGATAAAGTGGAGATCAATAAAAACAGAAAGAAGAACGAGGCTGATATTCAGTAGCCTGCAGTGCAGGCGTATTTTGGGTGGGAGAAACCTTGTACATGTTTGTATTGTTGTAGCCACCATCTTTGATTTTATGACAGTGGAAGAATGTGGAGAATAGAAATGGCGCTTTCGCGAGCAAAAACATTTGTGCGCCCGATGAAAACGCCTGCACTGAAGGCTTAATATTCAGCCATCTTGGTCAATAAAGGATGTATTATATGGCCAAAAAGAGAACTTTTCTTTCAGGACCAATGCAAAAAATCCCAAACAGGCAGGATGGACCCACCTTGCCTTCTGGGGTAGCCAATCAGAATATTTGCAGCTTATTAAATAATTAATATTGTATTATTATTGATTAAAATTCGATCACTTCCTCTTTGGGGGTGTCACCAAAACCTGGATCAGATCAGGGTGGATCAAGCACTGTACCTCACTATATGCCAAACTGTTATATTAGCACTTACCAGTAATATCCTCTGAACAACCCAGGGGCCTGTTTTGCAAAAGTCCTGATGATTAATGGGCCAGGAAGTCTGTTGTTATTTTACACAAGGCAGCAGTTTCGATCGTTTTGCGGATAACATTATAAACTATCAGTAAACAAAACAAAATGGACCAGTTTGTCTCCTAAGACTCGCTCTTTTAATCTTTAGACTATGATTTAAATGTTTGATTTTGGACCCAAAAAGTTGCCTGGACTACCGTAATTCGAGAAAAGGGCCCCAGACCTTGAGCCCTGAGAACCCCTCTTCTGGTCTGAAAATAATATTAGAAGGACAATGCATTAAACACTAAATCACCATACATCCATTTGTCCTGTTTTCATTTACAGTGGTTTGGCATTTCAATCTCACTCGTTGGTGACGTTGAAGGAGTAAAGTATAAATTAGCGAATGCAATCACCATCAAGGAACATTTTGAGGTGGGATTTCTGTATTCATTAACTTTTAAAAAAAGCCCTTATATTATCAGTGGTGGACAGAAAGGCCAATTTTTGACACTGGAAAAAATAGCTTAATATAGGAGAGGAACAGTTTGACAAGTGCTTAGTATTTTGGCATTTAATTTGTAGGCCAGTAGGTTTTGTGCAGGCCATGCCAATGCTTTCTCCTTTGACAAGCAAGTAATAATATTACTTATTAGTGCAGCTAATCCAGTCAGGTTTGCACTTGACTTTATGGGACAAAGTTCTTGCTTGTTACTCTTATTTACAGGATTACCCTCACAGTATCAGGTGTAATAGTGGGGTAAAAAAAGGACAGAAACAGTATAGAAAACAACAGTAACAACAATGACATTTTAAGGAAACTGTTTGAACATTTGGCGCAACCACAATTTTTTGCCATTTTCAGGAACATCAGCCTCATTATACTAAAAGATTGGGTTGCGGAATCTAGACGAGATGGGCAAGTGCCTCTTCTTGCCTACTGTTACCTGCTAGAAACATTCATTTGAACAAACTGAGAAAATAGGAGAACAGTTTCTTCTCCAAAAAATTAGTGTGTTGAATAAAGTTGCTTCTTTTGCAATGGAGACGTTATCACTCAGGCAAAACATCCCCAGGGCCAAGAAACGATGTAAGGCAGTTGTATTCACAGGCTACCAATAAATAAGCTTTAGTAACAAAACCCCTTAAATTGTCCATGTGTATACAGATTGTATTAGTTTAAAGGTTATTTGTCTGACAAAGATGAGCACTCGGGCCTTAGAAGCAATATGGTACTTAATATGTTTTTAATTACGTTTTGACAGAAAGCAGCAGAATTGGATCCAAAAGATCCCAGCTGCCGGCATTTACTTGGTATCTGGTAAGTATCATCATTTGTTAAGTCATAGCCATATGTATGTAGCAGAGTTTTTCATAATATTTATATTTTATAACATTCAGGTGCTTTAACTTTGCTGACATGGATTGGTTCACAAGAAACCTTGCAAAGTCAATCTTTGGGTCGCCACCAACATGTACATATCAAGAGGTAAAGAGCTTAAACCAATTTAAGAATATTTTATAAGAATTTTGCTTTTGATAGTTGATCTGTTTCAGTTTTTGTGATCTAAACAGTTTTCTGCTTTTGTTTTGTCTTTCTTTACTGAACATTCGGTTTTCATTTTTTTACAATTAAGAGAGTGGTTTCTTGGTTTTGCAATTATTTGTTTCTCTGTGTTTCCAGGCTTTGAAATGGTTCATTCATGGAAAGCTACAATGTTCGAACAGTTTCAAAGGCATTCATAAGTTCTTTTGAAAAATACGTTGAGATTTATGAATATCAAGGGCACCCAACAACTGTTTTCTGTAAATTATCTTTCTGGAGAAGAAAATATCACCCAGGATTTTCTATTACTCGAGGAGGGCTAAAAATTGCTAGATGACTGTTCAATTCATGTGCAATTTTCAAAGGTTATCTAATAAATTTCCTACAATTTTCTGAGGTTTGATTTTTCACATTTCACACCCCAGGCTAGGCTATTTTTCATAGGAAAAAGGAAACCTAAAATTTTGAGATTCAAAAATGTGATGGAGAGAGGAATATAAATTTTTTTCGTTTCGTAATAAGTTAAATTGCATCTAACATTTTAGGAAATAATACTGAAGCCCTTGTAATCAGTTTCGAAAAGCCTCAATTTCCCGTGACCAAACAGATACAACTTCTATAGCACTGCTAAGTATGCATTTCTAGAGGTCTAAAAATAGTCTGGTTAGTGTAAAAAGTGTTTTCAGTGAAACTGGGGGGAAACTGTTGTTGGGTGCCCCACGAATATGCCCGTTTTGATCCTTTTTTTTTTCTTGTTAGTATTCATTGGTTTTCAATGTAGCTTTGTGTTGGTGGTCAATTTTATAGGCCATGGTTTTCCTGTCTTAGAGGGGTGTTTTATAATAATTTTATCATTAAAAACAAAACAAAAGAAAAACACTCGGATGAGAACTTTGTAAAATAAGCGAAAAAACTTGTTAAGTCACACAAATGAGCCAATCAATTTTACTTTTTGGGATTACAGTATCAGTTAGTGCTTTTCAAAACTACAAAAGACCTTTGTTTGGGCACAAGAGCTATTTTATGTAAAACCTATTTATATAAATCCGCCTGATGCTTTCCTTTTTTTGAAGCGTCCACTCTTTTACCTTTGATAATGAAGAAAAATAAATTCTTTCTATTGTAGGTAATTAACAGGTGTTGTCAGTTTCAAGGAAGTAATGGTCACGTAATGGTACACTGAAAGAACTGAAAATGTTTGCTGTATTTAACTCTGGTCCATCTGACTGCCTATTTTTTTTCTCCCTTTATCAGGCGTTAGAATGTTTTCAGAGAGCTGAAGAGTGTAAGTATGGAGATAGTTGGCTGTTTTCTTTTCCCATGGGGTGTCAGTAAAACGGAGGGCCAGGGCCAGGGCCAGGGCCAGGGCCACGGTCGGGGATCTATCTTTTTTTAAAGAATGCTGTTTTAGGGTTAGGGTTACAATAACGGGTCAGGTGAGGGTCAGGTTACAGTCAGGGTTAGTGTCAACCCTAACTCTAACCTTAACCCTAACCCTAAAACAGCATTCTTTAAAAAAAAATTATTGAACCAAACCCCGATTCCGCTCTTTACTAACACTAATGGACACTAAACTATTTCCTCATAAGAGGGTGGGACTGAGGAAACACGCTGGATCACTATTTTTGGAATTCAGTTTATGGGAAATCAGGTTTTAGGTTTTTAAAAAGATTAGAAATATCGTGACAGCGCCTTTAAGTAAGTGTTCAACTTAAAACCTGAAACTTGGTGCTGAAACAGATCAAAAGAGATCAAAAGAAAGCAAACATATTTTACCAGTCCCTTGGCCCTTCCTTATGTCATAGATCCATTGTATAGCTTACGTTTACAACAACTCTTGTTTAAAAAACTAAGTTGTCGTTCATTTTTTTCGGATTCTTGTTTGTCAAAAATTACCCAGACCATTTCAGTTTCAATCAGTTCCTTTCTATTTTCGCGCACTGTAAAGTCCTCTTTTTGTCTTGGTCTGTTCGAACAGATTCTTTTAAAAACTTCTTGCCTAGAGTTTATCTTTCAAATGTAATGTCATAGTTACGAGTATAAACGATAGGTTCATGTGCTGGGGATATCAAACAGCGTTTGCAATATGAGGTGCAGTGTTTCACGTCCACTCATACTCTGGGTGCCTTGTGGGACTGGGCTCCCGGCGTGAGACACGCCCGATGGGAGAAGGTGTAGCCCCAGAAAAAGGGCCACATTTCGCGACACCACCGCTCGTTTCCCAGCGAAATGACGCCTGAGAAATAAGCACGGAAATTCCATGTTGATGACGCGTCACTACCCAGATCCAGGTACTGCCTCTGATTGGCTGAAGCAAATTTTCCACGCGGTATGACCAATCAGAAACACTACCCAGATCTGGGTAGTGATACGTCATCAGTATGGAATTTCTGCGCTCGTTTCTCAGACGTCATTTCGTGGGGAAATCCAGTGGTGGCGTCGGCAAATGTCGGCTGTTTTCTCAGGCTAGTGAAGGTGCAGAAAAACAATAGTGTGTGAACAGGCGTTATTTTTCCGTGCTTTCCCCAACACTCCACGTCCGCTTCGTGCTTGCCTTTTAAAAGATCATCAAAAGCAACGCTACTTGATATCCTTCAGACTGAAGACTCCTATATTGACGTAGACACGCTTATTATGAAAATGAAAAAGTAATTCTCTAGTCCTGTATTTTTTACAACTCACTCCAGTATTTTTTCCTTGTATTTAAGTAGAATAGTATTTATTTATTGTAACATATATACTTATATAACGTCTAATATTTTTGTATTTATTCAGTTTATTGTAATGTAATTATGTAGCCTGGCCTACCATATATTGCCTCGCTAACTGCAGGCCAGTCCCAGTGTATTTTGTAATTTAGTGACGAATTTAAATAAATGTTGGTAAAGTTGGCTGAAAAACGCGAAAAAATAGTGCCAGTTCTGCAGGCGAAAAATACTGGAGACATAATGATTATGTTTTTTTTGTATTCACTAGTGGAACCAAACTTCTATAATAAAAATCATCTGATGCTCGGAAAAGTATTTCTCAGAATGAAAAAAAAGGACGAAGCAAAGAAATGGCTGGAAAAAGCTGACAGCAGTAATGGCGAGACAGAGGATGATAAGTTGGTAGGTGCCATAAATTTCTTCGCGTCTGATCTTTCCCTCCTGTTCCTTTGTATTTAAAAATAATGGTCCTCTCTTAAGCATTATTCTCTCTTTTCTTTGATGAATCTCATGTAATTATTTGGGCGTTGCCCAAATAGAGTTTTCGAGATCGCTCGTTTTGATTCAACGTTGCAAGAGACACTGCGAACGTAAACAGGCCAAGTAAAAAAACCAAGCAACTTGAATGTCTTCCACGCAAACGACTCGCACAAAGTAAAAAAACATGCCGGAAAGATAGCTCCTAGCAGGGTACTTGATCTCACTTTTACGATCTCAAAAACCTTGGAATAAAGAAACACAATTTCCAACGAAGAAGTTAAAAGCGATGAACATGTTAAAGCAACGCAGGGATAATTTTCAGGTTGGAGGAAAAGATAAACTCAATCTGAAGCTTACGGTATTTTTTTACCTCACCCAAAAGCCGGACGTTTTTTTCAGAAATGCGGAAGTATTAAATGCGGGAATTAAATGTGTCAAAAATAACTGGAATTTAAAACGGATTTGGATCACACCCAAGAGTGTGCACGATTTTCATGCTGTAAGATGTTTGCGTTCGTGAGGAATGAGATTTCAAATATCATATTACAGGAAAGGTTCTCTGTTTTGACTTACGATACTTCGTTTAGCCCGGTTAATAATTTTTTTTACCCTTTCTATTCATTCGTAATTGCTTTGCGTGTTGTTTGAGTGTTAGTAGTAATGAATATTTTTGAATCGTCGGTAGAACTAAACATTGAAAACCACACTGTGGGATTGACGGGTCTGGCTTATATACTAGCCATGAGTTTGACAGTATTTTTGGCCTCAGTTGTCGAGAGCCAAAGAAGATGTCACGCAAAATTCCGTGATCGTGCGTGAGATAAAAACGGGATTGTTTCAATGAGGAGAATGGCATGCAGTGAGTGGCTACGTGTGAAGTATTTCGGCAGTTTGACAATTTTATCGGAGCTAATTGATGTTAGCCTATTAATCTTAACATTGAGTGATGCATAATTTCATGCAATGCAGATGTTCGGAAAGGCGGCGATTTCTTAAAATCTTATTGAGCAAAATGATCTCGTAAACAAGTTGCGTTTTTTCACGTTTGAACCGTAAAAGGGGCAAAGTCCAACATCTTTACGTGCAAAGTGCGTGCGTGACAGTTATTTTTAAAACCCTTAGGTAAAATAGATTAAGTCGTATTTTCTCGTACCCGAACCACGGAAGCGGCAAATTCCAAAGTTTTTACATGCAAACTGCGTGACAATACAACTCACAGTAAGGCCTGATTACATGAGCTGGGCTGGACTGGTTTGTCGGGCTGGCTAGCTCTGCCGAGGTGACCTTTATCCTGGTATTACATCCGGGCCAGCTCAGAGCTGCCATTTTTATATAGAGATTGGAAGCAGTGCACATGAGCAGTGTGTTACCCTATGTCCTGTTTCTCGTTTGGTTCATTCGCCGGGCTGCCGCCCAGCAAGCGTATTTCCATACATCCCTTCTCCATATTAAATGAATTTCCCTTATCCACGTTCTCTCCATACAACTATTATCAAAAATAGCCGAAAGACAATCTAAAACAGAAAGCCTAACAACATTTAAAATAAGTACAAGACCATTGATAAAATGCCTTTCACAACCACCACTTCATTTCAGCAGACTGTAACTACACTATCCCTTCATAACCAAATTAGCACTCCCACAACTACCTCACTGGAACACCTAAAATAACTTTTACCTTCCAAATAATTATTTTTGTTACTTTATAACAAATTCCACGAGAAACCAGTTTCACTGATTGACAAACTACAGCCATTATCTTACCAATCCACGTCCAATATAACTCCACGCCTTCCATTTCTCAACCACTTTTCACTTCTCAACCAACACCTAAAATATACAACGCTACAGCACTACTCTAATAGGAATGAAAAAAATTCACGTACGCGTAGTGCAACGACACCCAAATAATTAACTTTAAGATGCTCTTAAAATATTTTTCTTTCGCAAAAACACCCTCTTGCATTTTTTTTTCTATCCTTAGGTGAGGAAAGAGGCAAAAGAGCTGTTGAGGAAGCATTTTTAAAGGCAAATTGCTTACCTCTTAGTGACATAAGTGGACACTTTAGTCTGGTGCATTCCAGTCCGCTTATGGGATGTTCGAATTTTGAATCTGTCACGTCTTTTCACAAATCCCATTAAATATGAATAATTTTTGAAAACGAAAAAGTTGTCTTCACTCTCCAAAAATGGTGTCACATTTACACCCCTATTTCCCCAAGAACCTTTACTCCTCATGAGCTTTTTACAGCATCCCGATGCAACTCGCCACGTGGCCTTGCGCCGAAAGCTTAGAACCAGTTCTCTTACAGTTTGTGGAATGAGGCCGGGAATTGATAGTAGGGAGCTTTAGATTCTGAGACGAGGACGACTACGAGTACTAGATTTCTCAGTACTAAGTAGTGCGCGCGTGAACCAGCGTCATTTCGTCGGGAAAACGTGGTAGCTGTCCTCATTGTGCTACGAGTTTTAGCGCGAATGGCGGCCAGTAGTGGCGGGAACAATTTATCAAATGTAAGAAGTTTTATAATTTGCTATTGGGAAAGGGCTTTTCCTCCTTAAGTATAAACAACCGTACTAACTTGTTTTCAGAAAAAAAGTACAATGAAGCTTTTCAGGGTGTCTGTTTAGAATCCTTGCAATCAGTAACCAGGGGCGGATCTAGGGGGAGGGTGCAGGGGGTGCGCACCCCCCCTCGCCCTGAGATGACCTGCGGTTTTTTAATACAACTGGTATTCTGCAAAAAAAAAACTATGTGGTTTATTGGTGTTGAAGTAGAGCAAGAGACGAGTGCACCCCCTCCTATAAAAAATCCTGGATCCGCCCCTGGTAACTAGAGCTGGCCGCTTACGCGAATGTAAAAAATACAGAGTTTGTCTGGGAGTTAAAAAAAACGGGTTTTCACCCCCACGTAAGGGAATCCAGATTCCGAAACCCGGGAAATTTGTGCTTGTGGAATCCGGAATCCTGGGATTTGGAATCCAGAATAAAGCTCAAGGATTTCACTGAAAAAAGACTGGAATTTAGTACCTGGAATCCGGAATGCGTGACGTGGAATCCAGAATCCAAGACTGTCTTGGATTTCCTTACATGTGACGAGTGTTTCGTGAAGGTGGCTGTAAATAGATCTGTTCTTACGAGAGTGTCCAGTAGGACAGCTCCCACAAACCACTATATTAGCTTCCGAAGTTCCACGAGCAAGCACAGAAAGCAAAATTTGCTTGTGGGTTTAAAAGTGTCCCAGCAGTCTTGACTTTTTCTTTTCGCTTTCTCTCCTCCCCTCTTCTTTCGCTCTTCTCGCCTCATATTTTTATTGCTGGGCATTCAGTAGCCTCCGTATTTCGGTGTGAAATGTTTTTGGAAAAGGTTTAGATGAGAAGGGCGGGGGAGTAGTGGAACAAGATTTTCATACAAAGTTTAGGGTCAACGTTATGCCTTTGCCTTTTTCTCCGGGCTACTTGACTTATTCTGTTATTGTTTGAAAGATCTCTTCCTCCTGCACAAGTTAGGCAGTACAAGTTGTCCTTGGCCGTTTAAACCGATGACGTCTCGAGTGCTAGAAGAGACGTGGATCCGCACGGGCGGTTACGGGCGGTTCAGGGGCGATATGGGTGAAAAACTTAACTATCGTCACGCACTTTTTATCATGAGTAAGAGACCATGCGTGACAAAACGTGTTCCTTCAGTCATTCTCCGCGCAACCAATTGACCGCTGAACGAGACACTTTCAAAAATTGTGCACTTTGTGAGTACCGTAAATCCTCTATTATGTAGACCCCAGGGGGTTTATTTATTTCAAACATATTTGTGTGTGCGTGTGTGTGGGGGGGGGGGGGTGATTGAGCAGT